GTTTGGCTGTAGGTTGAGCAGTGCAGACATAATGAAAGCCTTCTCTAGATATCAGACTTACAGAATACACATCCCTGGAATTCTTGGTGTGATAACGAGGCTCCAGTAATCCAAACAATCCTCACATCCGGCCAAGCGCATTTTTATTAATCCGGCTACACTACGCTGTGTGAATTCCGTACCCTTCCGGCCGGCATCCCTCGATCAGCTGATCAAAGGAACCGATCGGAAAATCTGCATACGAGGAGAGCTGGCAGCCAATGAGCTGCCGGCTCCATTCAGGGATTCTGTGAACGTCCGGCAGCCGCTGTTAGAATACAGAAGGTACAGTGGGGGGATTCCTTGATCAATGCGTTCTTAGCGTTGATGGAAGAATCAGCTCTCGCTCGCGGGTTGAATGAAAACCATAGAGCCGTGCATGGCCAACTTTACCTATATTATGTAACATTTTATATATAGGATTTATATTTCGAAGCCGCTCAGCGAAGACTTCTCATTGGACGGGAGCGCAGCAAGAAATCGCTCGAGTCGCCAAGTTCGTAAGCCCTGCAAACCAAACCGTCTTTAAACATAAGTCATTTCCCTTGAATGGTTTAGCTCAATAAAAAGTTAAGAATAGGCGGAAAGTATGTTAATGATGAAGAAAAGAACAATAATAATTACAGGATGGCATCGCAGGAATGCTGCCGCCCTGGGCCCAGGAGCTGACAGTCTAGTCGGGTACATCATGTTCCCTGCTTTGTGTTGCCCTGCAGGGGGGCTGAGCAGAGAACACCTTGTTGTTGTATAATATGCAGTGTGGCTGCAGGCAGAGATCCCACAGATAGCCCCTCCCAGTTTTGGGGGGAGTAGCTGTTGCGGTGAGGTCACCCGCCACTTATAGGCAGAAGTCTCCGCCCCCTGGCTCAGTGGAGTCGGTGAGCAGAGACAATGAACAGCCTGTGTACCTTGCAGCAGCTCCAGGCGGAGAATGAGCCGGTGAGAACTTCATCATTATCCTTTTCTTTGGTTTATGTTGGTGTCCTTATTATACATGTATATAGCTCTGACATATACCACAGCGCTGTACAGAGAACACTGTGCCAGTCACATCAGTCTCTACACGTCACTATATACACTGTAGTAACGTTGGCAGTGTTTATGGGAAGGCAGGTTGGCCTATAGTTGTGTTTATGGGTCAGTGGCGGAGGGTTTATATTGGCTGTGTTGTAGTCAGATCTCTGTTTAAGGTGCAGGTAGGTGTACCTGTAGTATACAGAGACGAGTGCAGGTGACATAGGTC